GCCCGCTCTGCAACAGGGGCGTCTCAGAAACAAGTGACAAGTGGGAGAAGACAAGCTGCCATTTCCAGTCCTTTAATAATGCTCTTCTCTGCCTTTGAGGCTCTCCGACCTCGGGGCTATCTGTCAGCTTCCACCCCAGGACCAGTAACAGGGCCACGCACATCGGGAAACTCAGGAAGTTCAGACGCCTCCTCACTCGGGTACCTAGGGCTTGTTTTCTCTTTAAGAGGGGCTTGTTCTCCTTGGAATAAAGCAGACACGGCCGGCTGTGCAGGGCCTGGGGCGCACTGAGAGCCTGCTACGCAGAGCAGAACTGCTTCAGGCGGCTTTCAGGGTTGTGAAAGCTCAGAAGACCGCCAGGCTTTTCTGGGGTGGCTGGGAGGGTTTGAACTGCCAGCCTTCAGGTGAGCAGCTGAGCACACAGGCATTGGTGCCACTCGGGGACCCCTTCCGTCCCTGATGACAGAGACAACACCGAGGAGTCCACTCTGATTTACAGTGACCCTAGTAAGGTTCCAAGACTCTCACAAGGAGCAGCTGGAGGGGTTTGAACCACCAAGCCGGAGGTTAGCAGCCCAACGCCTCACCCCCAGTGCCAGCAGAGTGGGCTCACAATAAGTGCTGACAAGGACCATGCTGAGTCTCCCAAGAGTGAGCACCAACACTGTTCAGAAACATCAGGTTCCTCTTCTGCAAACAGACGGGGCCGGGTGAGAAAGAGTCAGTGTCCCAGGCTAGATCAGGCCTCAGTCCCTACCCTGAACTCCAGACGAGGGTGCAGATGCGACTGTGAGTGTGGGGAAGGGGCTGTCTCAGACATCCGCCTTTCGATCAGACGGGCAGGTCAAACCTGATTGTCACAACGGTTCCAGTGTATGTCCTCACCGTCAACAGATCTGTACAGAATTACAGATCTCATTCATTCGTTTATGAATCATAAACACAGGCAGTGACTCCCCCCGCCCCCACCAGCAGGACTGGGGCAGGAAAAGGACGATGCACACGTTCTGATAAGCCCCGAGGTTCTGTTCACCCGGAGCCGAGGTGCACTTCACCCCGGAGCTCCACGATGATGGGAAAGGCAGAGAAGCGCCGGCCGGCCGGCAGCATGAAAGCACCCTACAAAGCCAGCTGCGGGAAGGGCCAGGCAGAGCTTGCCCCAAATTCAGTCTTGCAGGATTGGCACTCCCCGGGCAGCACAGGAATTATCGCCAAAGGGGGAATACAGGGCTCAAAGCAAGTGGAAGGCAGAAAGATGGACCAACAGAGGGCTCTGGAAGGAGGGGTGTGGGACCCCCGGGGAGCCCCTCCCCCCCAAACCAGCCCACGCATACCAAGGAAAACTCCAATGAGGGCTGTGGGGTTGGACATAGCGGAACCGTCCAGGGTTTCTGGGCTGTCACTTTCAGAGAAACAGAGCGTCAGGTCTGGCCTCCCAGGTACGGTGGGCTGACTTCCAACCAACTGCCAACCTTTCCATTCACTGCGGGGCACACGAGGAGGTGTCCGGTTCACGCACAAGCACCAAACTCAAGCTTTCCAATGCCAGGAGGCCCTGGGAGCTGCAGACAGTGAAGCGAGCGCTGGACCACTCGCTGAAAGGTTGGTAGTTCAAACCCACCCAGATGTGCCTTGGGAGACTGGCCTGGCGACCCGTTTCCAAAGGGTTACAGCCTGAGAGCCCTGGGAAGCCGGCACTGACAGTAGTGGGGGACAATAGGGAGGCAGACACATATGTGTAAAACGCCACAATAAAACCGCCAGGGTTGAGCAGGGGTGATCTGAGCGGGACTCACCAGTCACCTGGGGAGCAGGGGAGAGTCACTGTCACAGCCGTCACCCACTCTCCCCGAGCGCCAGCACCTGGGGATGGTGCCGAGCCAAGAAGGCCTCCCCTCATGGAAGACTCCACACTGGCCCTCGGCACACGGGAGTTACCCCCCACCCCCCCGTTTTTTACTGATTACATGATTCCGACAAACTCAAATTTCATCTCGAGCAAAGCCAAGCCTCGCTAGGGGTTATCCCTTTTCTCCTCCTCCAGGATGATTCCCAACCAGACAAAACGCAGGGCCAGGTCCCCTCGGACATAAAAAAGGGGACCACCTTCCCGATTCCACATTCAAGCATTAGGGTCATTCGAGAGGAGCTGTGCTTCCCGCTGGAACCGTTCTTGGAAAAAGGGAGGGCTTTCCACCCATAAGCCAGCCCTCAAGGCCCCTCCACGAGGACAGGGCATAAAACACACAACTAAAAATGTTCTCTAAAAAAAAAAAAAGAAACCAAGCTCCTCCCCACCGACCGGGTCACCCAGGGGAGACGAGACCCCACTAGAAGACAGGGCAGGGATGATGGAAACAGCATGAGCCCTCTGCATCCTCTTCTCCCCAGACACCCACCCACCCGTCTTGGGTGCTCCCCCACTTTCACTTCCTCCATGCCACCTGGAGGGGAGCCTGGTCCTGCTTCCGGCTGGGGTACAAAGGACGGGGTGGAGTGCAAGCAGCTTCCTTACTCCCCAAGTCTGGGCCCCCAACTCTGCCTGACCGGGTCAAGAAGCAGGTGCGGGAGCTTATGCTGACCCTTCACCACGGCCGTTTGCCAGTGGTCATTGCAGAGGGACCCTGGGTGCCGGGAAACCGGGTCCCTCTGCTGCCGGAGGTGCATCCAGGAGCTCGCTGCACCCCTGGCCTGAGCCAGTCCGGTAATGCCACACCCCTGCAGGTTCTCCCTCTGCCCCCAGGTGCAGAGAAGGTCGAGGGGACCCCGTGGTCCTGCACTGTCCCTTCAGCTTTGAGTCACTGGGTGCCAGGCGTTTTCGGTCCTGCTTGGGGTGAGGGAGGGGCCCTGCACGCCCGACTCTACACATCGTAACGGTTCAAACTGTATGCGTTCGGGTAGCTCTGCCGGCTGTACTGGAAGTGATCTGTTAGGACGTTGTTGCGGCTGTACTGATAGTCTGTGAGCTGCGTGGGGAGGAGGCCATTCTGGGGCTTCTCCAGCATACCCCGGGGGTACTCCTTGCCACTCAGGTCTCCTGCAGTGATGGGGAGGAGGTGCTTCCTGGCTTGCTGGTTGGCATCGTACTTGGTCTGTGGGGGTGTTGGGAAAGAGCAATGAAAATCCATCCAGCCCAAAATGTTCAAGACAAAAAAGAAGAGCCACCCAGTCCAGAAATGGGCAGAAGCCTCGAACAGACGTCTCACCCAAGTGGCAGCCCAAGGCCAAGAAGCACCTGCACATCGAGAGCTATAACCAGTGCTCGCTTCGGCGGCACAGAGACTAAAATTGGAACGGTACAGAGAAGATTAGCATGGCCCCTGCGCAAGGATGACACGCAAATTCGTGAAGCGTTCCATATTTTTAAAAAAAGAGAGAGCTACAACCAGCCCAAGCCAGACCCACTGGCAACCTGGAGCTGTTCTGACTCCTGGCAACCCGACGGAGGGTTTCCAAGGGTCTAAATCTCTAGGGGAGCAGCTAACCTCAACGTGCTCCCTTGGGAGTGGCTGGTGGGTTTGTACCGCTGACCTTGTGGTTAGCTTAGGAAGGCACACGTGAGATACCACCCAACTCCTATTAAAATGGAAGTGATAGGAACAGATGACGGGGAAGAAAAGCAGATGGTGAGGTGGTGGTGGAGAGACTAGAACTTCCTCCCCACCGCGGGGAACGTAAATCGGTGCAGCCGCTGTGGAAGAGCTTGGCGGTTCTTCCAGAAGCTGAACAAACAAGAACCACAGGACTTGGCAATTCCGCTCTCGGCATCTACCCAGGAGCAGTGAAGTCAGGAACAGACTCAAGCAGCACTTCTCACAACGGCCACAAGGTGGAGACTCACAGAGGGCAGACGAACCTGGCGTGGTCCCTGCCACCTTAGCCGGCAAGAGAAAGGAAGTCCTGAGCCCCGCTACACCATAGCTGCACCTTGACCCCGATTCGGAATGAGACAGGCCAGCCAAAAGTGCACACGTGCTGCCTGGGCCCATTCCTGTGGGCACCAGGTGTGTGTGTGTGTGTGTGTGTGGGGGTGCTTTTGCTCTGGGGCTGAGTGGGTGTGGAGGGTGGTAGCAGTATGGTTGGCTGTTCCTGGGTTCCTAATTTCAACCCATGCAACCATCCAGGGACACCCCTCTCCACAGGGCAAGGCTTGGGCCTGGGCTATGAACTGTGGAGCGTTTGAAGGCGACCACAGGTACCTTAAAAAAACAAAACCTGATTTGTAGAAAACCCCAAACCCTGACTCACGGGGGCCCCAGCCGTCCTCCACATGGCTCCCTCCAGAGACAGGCGGCCAGATCTTGCTCCCGAGGCCTTGCTGGGTGAATGGGAATGGCCAAGCATTGGTTAGCAGCCGAGAGCCAACCGGGATCTTTCTAGGGAGCTGGTACTTGGCTCCTGCCGGGTCAGCTTTGACACATGATGACACCCCTGATCCCATGCCCCCACACGCTAGTTGAACGGCCCCACTGGCTGTCATCGTTTCTTTCACGGAATGGCTGGGCGGTGGGGGTTTGAACCGCCGACCATTGGATTAGCAGTGGATCCTCTGCACATACACGCCAGACTCAATGAGGCCTTTGCAAGACGGCTGTGGAGAGACCCCTGGCCCGTCACCCTGGCACCCCTGGGGCTGGAGCTCCCGTGTGAGAGGGGAAGCCCGGGGCCCCGCCCCTCGGGAGCACTGGCGGGCGGCCTCTCCCCTGGCTCACCTTGTTGTACAGGAAGACGCCCAGGATGGCCGTCATCATGCCCAGGACGTTGGTGCTGGTGACTGGGTTGCGCAGCATGATGAGCGACACGGTGATGACCATGATCCTCTTGGTGGCGTTGGCCACCGAGTAGCTCAGGGGGCTGATGAGGTTGAGGATGCTGAAGGCGATGACGTTCTGGGCAAAGTTGCAGAAGCCACTGATGGCCAGCAGCAGGAGTGTCCAGGGCCACTGGGAGACATAGGCCTGCAGGAGGGGGACAGGACGGCCACTCAGGGATGGGGACAGCATCACAGCCGAAGACCAGGCTGGGGACGGGGAGGGGGTCCCAGGGTGACGGTTGCACCACGTGAACTAGCCTGTCTCGGGCTGCCTCGCGTGGCTCAGAATAGAACTGGCCTCCGGGGAGCTGGGAGGTTGAATGGCTGCTCTTCTGGAAGCGGACGGCAAGCCCTTCTTTCCAGGAACTTCTGGGTAGAATGAACCACCCACATTTCAGATGGTAGCCCAGCACTGAACCCTCTGCACCACCTGACCTTCGGGGCCCTTCAAGGTAGGTGGAATCACCCGGATTTGCGTGGAGGCAGAGGCAAGGAGACACAAAGGAGACTTGAGGCCTACCCCGCCCCAAAGTGTCCAGAGGCAGCCCTGCCTTGGGTCAGCTGAGTGGATGGCTCACATTCCACAGGAGGGGGAGGGGCTCCTGAGTCCCAAGTATCACAAACATGCCCTGGGCTCAGCGCCCCTGGGCAGGGGGCTTGCCCACTTTGAGTTAAACTGTCCCCAAAGGCGTACTAGACCCTAAACCTAGGCTACCTGCGGCTGAATAAGCATCTCTTTGTTATGCTCAAGAGGCCACACTGCAGGGTGTCTTAGACCTAATCACTTTGAGGTGAAGAGACCCGGAAGCAGGGAGACACTTGGGGGAAAGACCAGACGGAATGCGGAATGCCTGTGGAGCTTGCCACAGCACACCAAGACTGCCAGAGGCTGAAACCAGGCCCTTCGTGTTTCCTCCAGAGTCTGGCTCCAGATTTGGATTTCCAGCCTCCAAAGCTGTGGGGAAATGAATTTCTGCTCTTTAAACGGTCCCTGTGATGGCTGAAGTTGCATGTCAGCTTGGCTGGGCCAGGATTCTCAGTGGTTTGAGGATGGCGATGTGGTTGTCCTGTGATGAGGTCGAATACAGTGCACTCATCCTTATGACCAGCTCTACTGTGAGCAGTCCACCAGTTACAAGGATTTTACTTGAAGGTGTAACCTGCTTCCAGTATATAGGGATGCCCTTTCCTTTATGTGCATCCAGCATCTGACTGTCCGTACCGTCTGACCCTGGTTCTCAGGCTTGAGCCACCAGCCTGCCATACTACCCGCCAATCCTGGGAGTCAACCTCTGGGGCCCATGAGTGAGCAGTCTGCTGGCTGGGATTCACTGACCTCTGCAATCTTGGGTTCGTCAGCCCCTGCAGCTATGTCAATGAGAAGTCTCCAGCCTGACATCTGACCTATGAACTTGCCAGTCTCTGACACAAATCAATTCCCCTCTCTCCCTCATGGTCACTGAGTCAGTTCCAACCCGCAGCGACCTTGGCCCCGTGGGTTTCTGAGACAGTAACTTTTTTTTTTTTAAAGAAACTGTAACTCTTCCTAAGAGTAGCAAGCCCCGTCTTTCTCCCTCGGAGCAGCTGGTGGTTTTGAACTGCTGACTATAATGACCCTATGTACAACAGAACGCTGCCTGGCCCTGGACCATCCTCAAAACTGCTATACTTGTGTCTACGGCCGCCACTGCGTCAATCCACCTTGTGGAAGGTCTTTCTCGCTTTTGAGAGCTCGCTACTTTACCAAGCATGGCGGCCTTTTCGAAAGCACGGGGGATGAAGTCTTGCCATTCTTATTTCTACGGTGCATTCTGTCTGTACCTCCGCCAAGACAGGTTTGTTTGTTCTTCTGCTAAGTCCATAGTGCTTTCAATATCTTGTGACGTGTACACACACACACACACACACACACATATAAGCTTTACAGAGTTTGTTTCTCTTGAGAACCCAGTGGAAGGCACACACCCATTTGTGGTATTTCTGATGCAGCAGCTCTAAGAGAACAAGACATCATCCGCACAACAGGGGCAGGCTGATCCCTGGGCTCATTCCGCCTGTGAGAAAATGCTCTACCAAATCTCAAGCCAAACAAACGGGAAAAGAGGGTGTCGTTATCAGCAAGCGGTCACCCTCTGGCCCCCACTGATGTGAGGTTGTTCTGACTGGGGTGGTGGTGGTGGCTAAGAAGCCAGGAAATTACAACTGGGAATATCTGGGCCATAATTCTCCCCACTGTCTGAAGCCCAGATGGGAGTGCGGAAATCGCTTTGCGGGCTGAGGGCCAAGCAGCCTGGAGACCAAGTGGCGGAGTCTGGGGAGCCAGGCCACAGCCCCCTGCGGCTGCCGGTGCTGCTCCGTTCTTCTGGATCAGATGTCAGCAAACTTTTAAGACCGAAGAACAAATCCTGCCCCTCACAACAATCTAAAGTATTCGAGAGCCATAAATATATTCTGACAAACAAATGAAATCACCATGAACTGAGTAACACTTTCACATTTTTTCAATTTTACGTCCTCAAAGAGCTACATATGGTTCTAGAGCCGCAGTGGACTGACCCCTGTTCTAGATCATAGGTCCCGACCAAGCTTAATGGCTACTACCCCCCTTTCAGGAAAATAATTACTCAGCACCCCTCTCCCCAGCCATTAAAAACTGTTGTACTACAGCCCACAATTCAGGATGACGTGCAGGTATGTGTGTGCACTGAAGCCTCCCTGAGTTGTCCTGCCACCTGCCAGGGGGTGGCATTACCTGCTGTGGAAACACTGGCCGCCCAGCCTTTGTTGTGTCGACAGTGCTGGGCCCCCAGGCTCAGTCTCAGCACTAAAAAGACAGTCCCCCTCTTCCTGGTTTTCATCATTCTGGACAAGAATTCCCACTGGAGTTCTTCTGCAGACGCACACCTCACTGTTCTCTGGCTATTGATAACAACTGTTTTTTTTTTTTTTTTGGAGGGGGGTTGGTCTTGGTGTTCAGAAGTCTGGCTGGGATGTGTCTGGATGTAGGTTTATCTTGCTTGGAGCTTGACTTCTTGAATCTGTCCATAGGTGGGGGCTTCAAAAAGCTCGTGGGGGGGAACAATTTCCACTCTCTTTTCATTCCACTTCTCCATGACCTTTTTGAAGTCTGTTTGTCCTGGACCTATTGTTGAAGGGCAGCATTCTTTCTGTCCTCCCTTGGGGCAATTTCAGAAATGCCGGAGGGCTGGCAATGAGCCAGGAGGCTCTGTTCCTTGTCTTTTGATGGGAAGATGAACCTACTGTGTGAAGGGGTCCCTGCGACCGACTGTTCCCTCTGAGTTTCAGGTGTCTATGGGACCTGGCTGCCACCACCACGTGGAAGGAAGTCCTCTTAGTCACGTGGTGCTGCGATAATAAATATACCACAAGTTGGTGGCTTTACCAAATGGGCACTCATTCTCTCACAGCTCAGGGGGGTCTATGGGGCCCGAGTTCAAGGGAAGGGCCTCTGTCGACTCCGGGAGAGGCCCTGGTCTCACTAGCTTTTGCTCCTCGATTCCCTGAAGGCCTCCACAGGACACCGGCTTCTCCTTCCCTTGCATGTGCCTGCTCCTCTGCCCCATCCACTCATCTTGACCCTCGAAACCAGAAGGTTTGGGGCCTCGGTGGTGTCTTAGCTTCTGCGCTGGGTGGCTGACCACAAGGTGAGCAGTCCGACCCGCCGGCTGCTCCAAGGCAGGGCGATGGGGCTTTCTGCCTCCCTAAGGATGGACAGCCTGGGAGTCCCGCAGGGCTTCCACCCTGTCCGAGCAGGTCCTCAGGGGTTGGAGATAGCTCCATGGCAGTGTATGGGTGGTGTGCACTAGCCTAATGGAAGACATCTGCAAAGATCCGAGAACTACTGAAAGGGGAACAGGGGACATGAAGCCGCGTCGAAAGCGGGACACTGGCGCTGATACAACCTGCCCGATGCAGGGTGGCCACAAACCTTCCAAGTGTTTGGAAAGCAGTGTCTGTGGGGTGCCATCAAATGAGAGGGGCCTGTCACCAGCAGGAGCAACTCCGCGTGCTTCCGCGTTTCTCGCCCCATGGTGCCCCAACCAAGTACAATCCACCCCGGGGGAGGTATGGCGCTTCCCCAGACAACTAGGACTAGAAATACCTCACAGCCAAGCCATCACACCCCTGGGCACATGCCCTAGAGCAGCGGCTCTCAACCTTCCTCATGCCATGACCCTTTCAGACAGTTCCTCATGCGGGGGCGACTCCCCCCAGCCATAACATTATTTCTGTTGCTACTTCATCACTGTCATTTTGCTACTGTGATGAATCGGGCGACCCCTGTGAAAGGGTCCTTAGACTTCCCAAAGGGGTCGCGAACGACCCACAGGTTGAGAACCGCTGCCCTAGAGGAACCAGGAATGGACACACGCACACACATGCTCATCGATGACCAGGTCACCACAGCACAGGGCTGGAGACCCCTAACGTCTCTGTCGGTGGAGGAACGGGTCCACACACTCCGGTCTGTCCACACCGTGGACCACTCCACAACGCCAGGTCCTGAGCAGTGACGGATCCGCCAAACATGTCACCACAGGGATGCAAGTGGATGACCCTCTGCTGAGAGAAGGGGCTCAATCCCACCTAGACCATCGGAGACCACGATTAGAAAAGAAAAAAAGAAAGCATGGGTCACACCTAAAGCAGCAGCCATTGCTGATTATGGAGAAGCTGGGGCCAGTGAGGCAGGAGGGGGGCGGGGGCTGATTAAAAACAAAGACAGTAACACAGATACATACGTAGTTACACAGGTAAACGGACAGTAACATAGATAGGTAGTAGCCTGGATGGAAAAAAAAAGTGGACACAACACAAAGTTGCTTTGGAGGGACCTGCTAGCACTCCACAAGGTGAGTGGCAGGCTCCCTCCCACCGCACCCCCCACAGGGGCAGCCAACCCCAGGTGGGAGCCAGGCGTCCCGCAGGCCAGGAGCCTGCAGGAAGGGCTGTCAGGCTGAGATGGGCGACTCCGCCGATGGACATCAGTCACGTGCAACAGATCCGCACACGCCCGCACGGGGGCACAGAAAGAAGGCATCCCGAGAGAGAGAAGGCACAACGCCCGCAGACCCACCTCTACTCCCCGGTTAACGTCTGAGCTGAGGTCCAAGCGTCTGGCTGTGAAAGTGGTAGATCAGAGGAAACGGCTAAAGCCTTAGACTACCTTCCTCATCTCATATTTCAGGGCCGCAAACAGGCCTGGCTGATGACAGAAAGTCCTTCCGAGAACAAGTAACAGCTAAGCCACGAGGAAGGGGTTCGAGCCGGCCGGGCCTGTTCCGCATCCATAAAACGGAAGCCACATGGGAGACTGTGGTGAGTCAGGCAGGCGGGGGCCCAGACCGGGTTCTGCGCGCCCAGAAGCCATCGAGAGAGAGCTGGCAAGCAACCCAGCCCTAACCCGGAGCCATCCAGTCGATTCCGACTTGCGGCGTCCCCCGCGACTGAGACTCGGCTCCCCGGGGTTCTCAGCGGCTGTGGGTGGATGGAGGGTTGGCCCCTGGGTGACCCAACTGGTTGGTGTGACAATCTTCGCCAAGAGGCTGGCAGGTTGAACCCACGTAGCCGGAGCAGGAAGAATGACCAATCTGCTTCAGAAGCGGACAGCTGTGGCTGCGGCCGAGCTGGCTCTGACGCTCCACGACCCCACCTGTGCGGCTTCAACTGCTCGCTCTGTAGGGTTTTCGAGGTGTGGCCTTTTGGAAGCGGATCGACAAGTTCTGGATTCCCAGGCTCTTCTTGGCTTTGAGCTTTTGGCAGCCGATCGCCGGGCCTTTCTTCCGCAGCACCGCAGGGCAGGTGCAAACCATAACCACGAGGCACAAGTCACCGGAACAAAGTCAGTCGAGTGTCAGAGGCCAAGATGGCCCAAGCCAACCTCGAGCTCAGGACCACCCCCATCCCCAGCAGAGAGCGACTCTGGAACCCACCGGGGGCAGGGTGGGGGCCAACTTACCAGGTCGCTGCTGACCAGGAAGGTTGAGAGGTCCACCAGGACCCAGGTGGGGATCATGAAGAAGACGGCGTGGCCACCCAGGATGTTCAGCAGCCGTAGGTGGTGGATCCGGGAATCTCTCAACACCTGACGGGAGAGGATAATTCCAGACAGGCTGGTCGACACTACCCACAGAGAGGGGGTCCCAGACCCCATGCACGAGCCCGGGCGCCCACCGCCACAACCAGGCTCCAAGGGCATGCTTAAGACACACAGCACATGCTGACATGGCTGCTTCATAAAGGACCAGGAAAACAAAACAAAAACCCAACACATACAGACAAACCCAAACCAGGAACAGTCAGTGCTGGGGAAGCTGCAGACAATGGGGCACTCTTACATCGTGGATATATGGGTACCACCGATCTGTATCCCAACCAGGCCCGCCTAAGGAAATAACCTGAGAAGCAGGGAAATGTCCCCCACACAGCTGTTCATGACTGCGCTACTTATAACGGACGATGGAGACTCCCGTGTCCCCAGTGGGGGACTGGACTGCACACATTATGGTTCCTGGAGAGACGCAATGACTGCTGTTTGAGAGCCCTCATTTTTAAGACACAGGGCAGTGCCTGTGCTGTCAAAGTAAGCGAGCAAAGCAAGGGTTTCAAAAATACACCAGCTCCTCACTTAGCCACTGTCCTGTCATCTGATATTCTGCCGTTACGACAACAGTCAAAACCCCGTCCGACTACTTTGCACATGAACGTGATGTCCGAGATGAGGTGGGGGCGAGGCCAGCTGCGAGGATGAAAGCTGTGTGTCCATATGCGGGGACACAACTCCCCGTGGCTGGGCAGGCAGTTCTGACTCACAGCGACCCTGTGGGGCAGGGTAGGACTGCCCCTGTGGGTTTCCAAGATGGTTCGCTTCTTATGGGCACAGAAAACCCTGAGAAGTGACTAGTGGTTTTCGAACTGCTGACCTTGCAGTTAGGAGCCCGACACATAACCACTATGCTACCCGGGCTCCTGCCTGCGCACAGTAGGTCCGAAGTGATTTTTGAGTTGTCACTTTTCGCTGTACGTTGAGCACAACGTAGAAACGCACCGACGACGACGACTTCGACCATAAAAGGCCAGCGAAGGCTAGCAGGTGGGCAGTGGGGCTTTTCCCGTGCTCACACAGCGCGCTCCAACTGGCTCCGCCCTCACCAGCGCGCCCCACCCTGCCACACACAGCCAACGACCACCCGTACCTTTTTGGAGAAGATATTCTGAAGCGAGAAGCACAGGGTGGCTGCCAGTGCACTGAGGAGCCCCCACATGTCGAAGGACAGCTCTGTGACAGTGGCCAGCAGGACACCACTGATGATCGGGATGAGGGACAGGTACACCTGCGGAGGGAGGCGGGGCTGATGGCAGGACCCGACCCAAACCTTAGCCACTGACTCCTCCTCCTCTGCATCCCTCCTCGGAGAGCTGTGACAAGGATGCAGGGCAAGGTAGGAGCAGATGGCTATAGGGTGTGACGCAGGGCTGTGTCACCACCCAAGCAGAACTCGAACCTCGCCCACCCCCCTGCCCGGAGGGGCCCCACTGGCACTCCTAATTGTCAAGTCGATCCTGATTCCTGGCAGTCAACCCCTTGGCAGTCAGAGCAGAACTGGGCCCAATTTGGGTTTTAATGGATTTTGGGAAGGAAATTACCAGGCCTTTCTTCTGAGGCACCTTTGAGCAGACAAGATTCTCGAACCTTTCAGTTAGCAGCTGAGGGCTCCCCCTCCTGACACAGAGGCTCCTCAAGTCTCCATTCCCTCTCACTTCAAGGAGCCCTGGTGGCATCGTGGACTAAATATGGCCTTGGGCTGCTAACTGTGAGGTCAGCAGTTCGAATCCACCAGATGCTCAACAGGAGAAAGCTGCAATGTTACAGTCTCAGAAATCCGCAGATGCAGTTCTATCCTGCCCCATAGGGTCGCTAGAGTTGTAAGCAACTCAGTGGCAGTGGGTTTGGCCCTCTTACCCTGGGTCCTTTAAACACACCCATTACCCCAGGCTGGGTCATGCCCCACTCCCACCCGCTCCTCCTTTCCTCTCACCCTTCAGGTCTCAGTTCCACAACACTCCAGGGGGAACACCCTCCCCTCCCCTCACCTGGGCAGCTCATTATGGCACTGTGCTCCGGCTGACACGGCCATCAGGAGCTGTCACCCCATGCACACCCAGCAGGACGCAATGCTGTCCAGCTGGTCCTGGGCCACCTCCAGGATGGAGGAATGGTGGAATCGTTGGGATCTATTGGGCTTTCATCCGCTCATTTTGGGAAGCTGATCACCAGGCCTTTTTTCATTAGTCTAGGACCGCTTCTAAAACCTGCTCAGCATCCTAATGATACATATGTAAGCCTCCGCTGGACAGACAGTGGTGGCTGTGCGTGAGGAGTGACGTCCTGCCATCAGATCTGGGCCTTCTGTGTGGCAGGTGGGCATTTGCCGAGCCAGCACTCTCCCCAACTGTGTTGATCCTCATCGGATGTGTCCTCTCCAGGCTATTGGTCACTGCTCTGTCCTGGTACCAGCACAGAGTGGGCACTCCACAGCTGCTGGATGAACTTGGTACCCAAGGACAGCCTGCAGTCCCGACTTCCTGCGTGGATGCCCCCTGAAGCCCCCTGGGGGCAAAGCAGCTCAACGTCCAGGCAGGAGGGCTCTACTCCCAAGCCCTGGGAAGCACACGCAAGCCTGGGGTGCCCTGGGGGCATTGTCAGGATCCTGGCCCCCCAGTGAGGTTTTAGCCCACAGCCATATGACTCTCCTCGGACCTGATTGTCTGCCTTATCTGTCTCCTGGGGCAGTAGGGCCAGCTAACTTTACTATGATTGATCCTGAGTCTCCCAGCCTAGGAAGGCCCTTGCTTGTTGTGCAAAGCTTCTGGGCCCAGCCCTGCCCAGGCAGGGTACAATGTCCGCTGTCACGTGCCACCAAGAAACCTGATAAACTTGGTCTGATCTCGAGTGATGGAGTGGCATGCCTCCTGGGCAATTCCAACCCTGGCAAGACGGTCCTCAACCTGATGTCACTTGGGGGCGGGTGGCAGAGCGCAGCCTGCTCTGCCAGGATCAAGACAGAGGCTAAAATAAAAACTTGCCAGACGTGGCCCAGTTTCTACAGGCTGATGATCCAGGACATGGCCACGGTTCTGAGTTACAAAAAAAAAAAAAAAAGCATAATGCCAGGTGGAGAAGAGAGCTTGGCGCCACCATGAAACGGGTTCCGGCTGGGGCAGCAGGAGCCCCTAGGAAGGCAGCCGTCACTGGCTGAGGGCCTGGCTGCTCTCCAGCGCCAGCCACAAGCAGGAAACAGCCTAGCTTGGCATCTTGAACAGACCCCAGGCTGTGCCAACAGCACCTTCCTGACGCAGCCCTGGGGCTGCGTGATACCTCCTCCCTCCTCAGAACAACCACAGTTCTTAAGCTGGGCTGGGTTTTGCCCACACCAGATTCCTTGGACTGGCACGCCCCCTTCGGATCCCAGAAGGTCCTGTTCTGTCCCCCGTCTCTTGCAAGGAAATGAAATCCGGGCACTCTTGAGGATCCATTCCCCGTCCTGTTGGAGGGCAAGGGTGTGGCGCTAAGATGCAGCCACGTCATCTACCTGCAGCTCTCAAAAACACACAGCAGAGCGCTCAGGGACATCCCCTCCTCCCCACATCCCACCTTCCCCAAGCTTTTCTACAAGGCAGTGGTAAAAAGAGCTGACTTCCTTCTTCAACAGGAACCAGGAGGTACCACGTCATCTGATGGGGCCCGGCAGGAGCTCTGGGTCTCCCAGGAACCCAAGCCCGCTTACCTTGGTACTCTGCTTCTCTTTCATGATGATACGGGACAGAAGGACCACCCAGATGGGCATGGTGGCTTTGACTGCAAAGAGACAGAGTGCGCTCAGGAGCCGGCCAGAGCACCTGTCGCAACCCCAAGGTGGGTGGGGGGCGCCCGACTGGCAGCTTGGCCTCTCCTTAAACCTCTTCAACCTTTCTCTGGCACCGATGTCTCCCACCCCACCCCAGGTGTAGCCCAATTTGAGCAGCTTCTTCCTCTGCCCGGAGAGAGAGACCCCCGAGGCCGAGGCCTTCCACGCCCCCGGGGCTGGCACCCACCGGTGTGCGCGTAGGACACGGGCACTTTCCAAATGCTGACGTGCGCCGACACGGATGCGAAGTACTTGCCGAAGGCGAGCGGCAGCACGTAGCGCGGGTAGAAGCGCGGCGGCAACAGCGGGCCGGGCGGCGTGTGCGGGCCAGGTACCGAGGGCGACACGGGTGGCGCGGGGGGCACGCGCCAGGCGCGCAGCAGCGGAGGCAGCCCCGCGCACAGCGCCAGGATGTGGCATAGCGATACGGTCACCGGGAACGGGAAGCCGCTCAGGATCACCTTGTTCACCACGTTGCCACCCGCGCTCAGCGCGTACCACAGCAGGCACAGCGCCGCCACGCGCG